GCACCTTAACAGATGGTGTAAACTCTAAATAAAATCGTCTGACAAGCTCTGTCCATGTCATCTTTACCATTCCAACTGCCCCCACCTAACTGGTCACCTCTCCCTACTAGTCACGGATCAGTCCCTCAACATACAAGAAGCAAATCTCACCTTTGCCGCATCAGGGCAAGAACTAGGGCGATGGGCGTTCTCCATGTCTGCCACCTAGCATAGGCTAACTATAGGGTCCCTGACCCAAAAGAACTTTGGCACCCCACACGCCTTGAACTCCTAGAACGAGGGAGTTCGGGCCCCGAATTGACCCGCATCGATCTTCGCTCTAAATGCTCTGAGCCTCTCCTACATAATCTCCATCATCCCGTCCTTGACCATCCCAAAAATCATTGGGATAGTGTCAAGGATGCCCCTTATAACTTCGACTGTGATAAGCTCGCGTAGCCTCTCGTCAATGGGCTCGATAGTGTCACCTGACCTAGACCTGGATCCTGATACCCCTGCTCCAAATCGTGTCACCACCATACTGCTCTGCAATACCATAAAACATAATGATCATGATGTCCAAAGAGGGGATCCTCCCATACTGGTTCTCCTTAGAGCTTCTAGATCTAACATTGGTTTGGGTACAGGTCCTATGCTTTCAGTAGTATGGGCCCAATACTACCTTCCAAACCTACTTGTACCTTCACCAAGTCTCTACCTGATAACTCTAATTCTCCCCAGAACAAATCATATCTCATCGGCTACCACATAGCTCAAATCCTAGGCTAACCTAAGATTTCGTCCATCCATATCAAACGAGAACTCAATCATATTTTTACAGGTTGCCTTATGCATGAAAGTTATACACAGATGAGGATTAAATAGACTTTCAAATAACAGAATCTACCCTAAGACCACAACCAAACAAGGAACAAGAAATAAGGCCAAATCAATCATTCTGAGGCTATAAGATACTAAATGTATACAATTTTGAAAGCATGCACATAGCAAGATTCATACGATTATCATAACTCATATATCAGTATAACATGGCCAACATATTGGGGAACTACTTACTTGGCTCGACTGATCACGCGCATTGCACTCTTCTCTTTTCCATTTTAAGAAGTTTTTAACTTATTTTTTTGAATTTTTTTTACCATTTCCTTAGTTTGAGTTCTGACAAACTCGAGAGTGTGCCCGAATCCCTCAAACCAAGACTCTGATAACAACTTATCACGACCCAACTTTCAAAAGAAACTTTTCATTTTTAAATAGTCAAAACATTTCCAATAAACCATAAAATCTCAAGTACATTTGTTTTCAAATTCATAACATCAACAATATTATTCCAAACATCAAAGTGTCCCATAAAAACACCTGAGAGAGAGTGCATGTCGTGTCATCAAGCCTTTCCCTTGACCTTAGGCTTAGATGTACCTGAAACAAATCCACAAACTGTAAGTTAATGCTTAGTGAGTAGAACCGTTCCTCGGCAACGACGCCAAAAACTTGATGTGTGTAAAACCAACTAGTTTTAAACCTACTTTTAATTATAAAATAAACACACAAAGGCAGTAGACCTATCAATTGTGGTAAAGCTAAATAAGTAGAGTATCGAACACAGGGAACTGTAAATTAAAACTAAAAACTAATTTTATCTAAAATAAAATAATAAAAGGGGTTTTCTCTAGTTTTACAAGACTAGAAACTTACTAACTATTACTTAGACTAAAAACTAGAAAAGCAAAGATTCATCAGTGGAATACAATTCTTTTAGCTTGTCCCATATCTCTTTAGCAGTAGCGCAAGAACTCACCAAACGAAACGTATCTAACTGCAAAGCAAACCTAATCGTCCTCAATGACTTGATGTTGCATTGAAACTTCTCCTTCTTGTCTTGAGGAATATCTTTCACATCATTCACAAGCTTATTGTACTCCTTTTGGGTTTTGACAATCTTTGAGGTCTTGAATGAGCGAATGGGCCAACAGTGATAGCTTCCCAGATCAAGTACCCATTATCTTCCGATCCAATCACATAATATTCAAAGTGATGCGTCCAAACTTCATAATCTTGAGTATACAAGATTGGAATCCTTGTTGTTGAACCAATGTTGTTGGAGATATTGATTGGATTGGTTTGAGAATCATCCATGGACATTGTGATGGCGTTTGATCGATTACCTGTTTTAAGACCACACTTGTAATTTTATCAATTAGAGTAAGATCGATAATTAATGAGATACATCAATATGGAATGACATCTCAATTAATATCAATCAATGCGGAATAAACCCTAATAACTTCTTCGACAGAAGAGATGTGTATGAATTACACAGTCTCCTCTAATACCAATTGAAGAGAATAAATCTCAGATCGGTTAGATCTTTCACAAGTAAAAAGATAAAGATCAAACAAAACAAACACAATAATAATATGAACACAGTATGGAATCAACTTTATGCTTATGATTCAAATATAGTCACGCCTCAGCAGAGCTCGATGAAGAACTTCCACTGTAGAGGCGAGCTAGGGTTTACAAAAACTCAATGAGAAAAATAATGAAAGCGTTAATAACAAAGACTGCATGCATGCAGCTTAAATACTAAACCCTAGAATAAAACATGCAAGGTTGGACAGGCCCAAACCGGCAACCAAAACTGGGCTAAGAACCGAGCCCATGATGCAACACTATAAGCCCAACAATAAGCATGTCCACTTAGATAAGGACAATGAATATGTTGGTGTGAAGTATATGGTTCATGATCCCAATGTTGTTTGCAAAAAATGCGGCCACGATTAGGAGACTGTTATGAATCCCATACTCAACTCATGTTTTCTTTAACAAACTATGTAGTCCATGGAGGATACGAGCTTTCTTTTGAAAAAAGTGATAGATTAAGGGTTATAGCTAAGTGTGGAAGTGGAACATGTGACAATAAAAAAATACAATGTCCATTTAGGGTTGTAGCTGGATGGAAGTAGAATGAATGGACATTCCAGATTAAATTCTTAATAATATTCATCTATGTGCTAGGAATTATCTCTTTGGTTCCTTAGTTACTAGAAATCGGATAGCCAAACATTACTTGAAAGATGTAATCATGAAACCCAAGATGACATTGCTAGAGATGTAAGAAGATGTGATACAAAGGTTTTTAGTGAGCGTATCATTTGGGCAATGCCAAAGAGAAAGGGCTACGACAATGGGGATGCTAGAAAGGAATTTAGAAGACCATTATGCCATGGTTTGGGACTATGCAACTGCAATTATGTTGACTAATCTGGGTAAATTTTTCTTGGTGGACGTAGAAAGTAATCATGTGTTTAACTATTTCAAGAGGTTTAATGGTGGCTTCACGGTTTTCATAGATGGATAGAATAGAGGCTACAGAAGGGTTATAGGACTGGATGGTAGTTTCTTGAAGGGGCAGATAAAGGAGGACATTCTAACTGCTATTAGGAGAGATGCAGACAACCATGTATACCTAATAACATGGGCCGTTGTGAATGTTAATAATAAGGACAATCGCACTTGCTTCATTGAGGATTTGGTTACTGATCTGGATCTTGGTGCTGGCAATAGACTGGTTGTTATCTCAAACCAACATAATGTACTTACAATATATATTAGTATATAGTATATATATTAGTCTATGTAATAGTCATTAATTGTAGCATGTGTTTATTTGTTAATTTTAGGGACTTCTACAGGCTTTGGCAAACCTACTCCCCCCTGTTGAGCATAGATAATGTGCTAGACACATCTTTGCAAATTTCAGGAAGAAATACATAGGATTGGAGCTGAAGAATTTGTTTTGGGAAGCTTCTATGAGTATTGTAGAAGTGGAATTTGTTTCTATAATGGAGAATATAAAAAAGATAATTGAAACATGATACAATTATCTTATGGCAACCTAAAACCTGGTGTAAATCCTTCTTTTCTAATGGGTATGCTTGTGAGGCAGTAGAGAATGGGATTTCAAAATGTTTGAATGGCATGATCAAAGAAATATAGAAGACCCCTCTACTTACAATTCTTGAGGAAATAAGTATTTTCTTTATGAAAAGGTTTTATCATGAAGAAGAAGATGTATCCAAATAGAGGGGTAATTGTGGGCCCAACATCTTACTAAAGATTGAGGGATTTAGGAAAGATATGATGTAATGTTTGTTTAATGTATATGTATTATGTATTTAGTGTTTATGTTTGTAATTTGTTTCTTTTGTGTATAGGTTGTGGACAGTGGTGCCAAGTGGAGGTTATGTGTTTGACACAAGGTAAGGATATAATGGATACAAGTTTGATTTAGTTACTTACACTTGCACTTGAAACTTGTGGATTTAGTCTGGAATACCATGTGTTTATGGTTAAGTTGCAATCTACTTCATCCACATAGATCCAATTCAGTTCATTTCTTCCTATTTCCACAAGGACAAGTATGTTGCAACATACATCGAGAATGTACTACATATAGGTGGAAGCAACTTGTAGCCAAGGACTGAGTTTATTAATCCATTAACACCCCTAGTTAGAAGGATTCTTGGAAGTCCCAAAGTAAAGAGAGTGAAGCATGTATGTGAATCACAAGACTCCAAATACCCCTCACAAAGGTTAAAGGTGCCTAGGACTGTAAGGTGTGGAAATTTCCAAGAGCTTTGGCATAATGAGGTTTCATGCAAAAATCATGAAGTACCTAAGCCTCATGTCCCAAAAAGGAAGATTGGAAGACCTAGGAAAAATGGGTGAGGGCAACCTATCTTTGACCAATTCCCTCCACTTAGGCATGCTATACCAAGAAGGTATGGTGCTCCTCTTGTCTATGAATCTGGTGGTCAAGATGATGCTCCTCCTGTTTTTGAATCTGGTGGTCAAGATGGTTCTCCTCCTAGTTCTCAATATGGTGGTCTTGTTGTTACTCATATGAAAAGGACTAAGATGATGGAAATGAGAGGTTAGAAAGCTAAGGTTTTTGGACCAAGTCACAAACACCACATAAATCCCATGGTAAGCGACCTATGAGTGAAGGAGGTGAGGATGTGTTCCTAAGGTGTGATGAGGCTTTTGATGACCTTTTCATCCACACACCAAATGGTAAGCAACCTATGATTCAAGCAAAGGAGGATGTTCATGAACAAGAGAAAGGCAGTGTGATGAAGGTGAAAGAAAGAGTAACTTCAAAGGATTTGATACATTATGGATATACACATGCTAACACAATGGTTGATTCTAAAGAGGTATATGTTGTAACATTATTTTGTTACTTTCATATTGTAGATTTACTAACTAGACTGCCATATTGTAGTGTTATGGAGAAATTGAGGAAACAGAGTTTAAGGAAAGAGATGTTCAGGAAAGAGAGGTTGAAGAAAGAGCGGTTGAGGAAGGAGAAGTTGAAGAGAGAGAGAGAGAGAAAGAGGGGTTGGAGCAAGAGTGATACCCTTGGATCTTAGTTCTTACAATATACGTTGGGTGAAAAAGAGGACTCCCTCTGAAAGAATTAGGAAACTAAAGCTCATGAAAATGGTCCAAGATCCTAATGGTGGTGGTTCTACCAAAACCCCTTGGTTTTTAGATTAAGAAGTTGTGTTTTAAGGATTAAATGGGTAGAATGGGCATTAGTAAATAGGTTGCTCTTTTGTAAACTTCTAGTTTTGGTACACTTGTCTTTTGGTAACAAACTTCCAATTCATGTCCATAATGTTTGGTAGAATTATAAGTTTGGTTCTAATTAGGTTACTTGGTATGGTAGTGGTTTGTGGTTCTAATTAGGTCACTTGTCTTTTGGTACACTTATCTTTTAACCAAGGTCGTATGTATAAGTGGAGATGGAGATTTCTTAATAATCAAAATCTTTTGTGGGTTAAGATTATTAAAACTTGTTGTGGTGAAGATGGTGAATTTACGTTGTCTTCTTCTTCTTCTAGAGTAGAGAATGGCGTTTGGATGGGTATTATAAAATCAGTTTGGGACTTACATAATAGAGGTATAATCTCATTTGAATCAATATGTAGGAAGGTGGGTGATGGTGGGAATACGAAATTATGGGTTGATAATTGGTGTGGTGATATTATTCATAGAGCTCAATTTCCACGTTTATTTGTTGTGGCCAGAAACAAAGATGTTTATATTAAATAGGGTAAATGTCATTGTAGCCCAACCAACTTACTGATTTTGGTTTAAATGATCCCTAAACTTAATTTTTTTCTTTTTAGGGTCACAAAGTGTGTGCTGACCGGTTTAATTGGTCCCTTTCACCGTTGAAAACCGGTTGCTTATGCCACCTCTACGTTTGAAGCTGATGTGTCACCCACATCAACATTGTAATTTCAGGTTTCCTAATGACTATGATTTTTTCACTAAAAATAAGAAATAAAACTAAAATCATTCATCTTCTTCTTCTTCAACATAGTTTTTTGTTGCTCCCCATTCACGGAATCCAACCACCCATCTTCCTCAAACAACTTAAGATTGGAACCTCATCGGGACTCTACAGGTGCACTCTACGGCTATAAGTTTTATATTTTTGGGTTTTGTCGGCATTCCATCTCATCGAATCTGCCAATGCAAGTGATTGTTCAGGGTCTGATCAGATCTCTAAAAAACAAATCTCAGTGGTGGCTATGAAGATAGAGTCTTTGGGGATCAAACTAGAGAATCGATTCAATGAGTATCAACTTCTTAACCTCTTACATTAAATCAATGAAATGGGTATTGACTCTCAAGCGAGCTCAACAAGTCCTTCCATTCCGGAGATTCCAACCATTCTGACGACTATGGTTTCTTCTCCGATGGAACCTGATGCATCAGTCGATGTACTTTCCTTCATTATCACTGTATCGTCATGTGGATCCTCATTATTGACAGCAACATCTTCTGAGGGTGTGTGGTTAGTATAGAAATTTTGATAATGAAAATAATGTTTGTTAGTGGCTAGATTGTCTTCTGAGGGTGTAAGTTTCTTGATTGATTAGGTGGTGAAGGTGCAGATTGGGAGACGGATGTTGAAGTTTGGTAAGGGTGGTAGAAATCGATGAAGTGATTTATGGTCACTGTGGCAACATAGTCTTTTGGTAAGGTAAGGATATTTATAGGGATGTGTCCTAATGAACTTGAATCCTATTTGAAATTGGTAGGGTTCATGTGATATAGTAATGAAGGAGAAAGTGAGAAAGAGATGAAGGAGAGACATCGCCTTTAGAACAATGGTCTGGTTCTGAACGATCCACCGACTTCTTTTACTTTTGTACTTACATGGATATGAACTGAAACAAACAAGGCGATGAAGATGAAACTTAGTAGGCGGTGAGCGATCAACAAAGGGAAGGGTTTCTATTGGGGTCGGTGGACCTCTGATTCGGAGATTCAGATGAAGCCTCCGATTTAGGTGAATTTGGTACCGCTGAATACATGTTTTAGATTTTGGTTTCACGATACAGATTCACTGAAACAAGAGGAATTTGGATGTGGCTGTCGATCTATCTTCTTCATGTTGATGATACGAAAGAGAGAGAGAGAGAGAGAGAGAGAGAGAGAGAGAGAGAGTGTGTGTGTGTTTTAATTCCTTTTTTTTTATTAATCCAAAAGTGAAAATGACATTTAATCCAAATTTAACCGGTGAAACCGGGAAAAATGAAATTCAATACCTTTTTTAATAAGTCAATCCTAAGTTTAAGGACCTATACTACCAAAAAAATATGTAAGGGATCTTTTAAAACAAAACCAAAAAGTTGGTTGGACTACAGTGACATTTACCCTATTAAATATTAATGAGTTAAAAATCAGTGGGTTTTTCATTGGAACTGTAACATTGGAGGTGGGGTTATTGGCTCGTAGCTAAATCAAATAATGGTGTTACTTGATTCGGAGGAGTTGTCTAATACTCAGGATTCGTGCGGTGGTCGATTGGGGTTGAGGATGAGTTCGTTGTTAGGGAGGCCAGATATCATTTGGATTGGTTGAAACTTCCTTCTGGACGTATTGGTACTAGATGGAATAGATTTCTTCCAATCAAAATCAATATTTTTATGTGGAGATTAATTTTGGATAGACTCCCTACTATCACGAGTTTGGTTAGGAGAGGGGTGGAGATTGATTCCCTTTTGTGCTCTTGCTGTTTGGAGGTTCAAGAAGATGTGAATAATATATTTCTCAATTGTAATTTAGCCCGTCAACTGTGGCTGAAATTGGCATCGTGGGTGGATAACTGATTCTTATTTCCCCCTGTATTTCTGATTTGATGCAATGGATTGATGGTCTTTCGAATGATCATTTTCATAGACTTATCTTGGAAACAGTCTGTGCTAATCTTATTTGGATGATTTAGGGCCTGTTTGATTTGAACTTCCTGGTCCAGTTCGGACTGACTGCTGACTGGGTCAGCAGTCGGATGTTTGTTTATGAGATGATATAGCTGATTCGGTCAGCCCATTCCACCCCCAATCTCCTTACTCGGTCAGTAAAAAAAAAAGGTTGACTGGAAAAAAATTAGACACGGAATATTTTTTGCCCTTCTCGCTTCTAGCCTTTTTCCCCAATACGCCATGCCCTAGAAAAACTTCGATCTCCAGCATTGTATCGCCTCTATCATCTACATCTTCTTCCACGCACTGTGCCACCTTCTTCCACGGCCTGCGCCCTCTTCTCCGACGGCCAGAAACTTCCGGCGACACCCACAGCGCAGGTAATGTTTCTTCTTCATCTTTTTTTTTTTGCTTTTATGTTTCAAAAATCACGAAACCTTTCATGTTTGTTGTCAATTTATTGATTGAATTCTGAAATCAAAGTTTGTCCTTACTTCTTTCATTATTTTTTGATTAAATTAGATTGAAGGGTTAGCATATAATCAATTCATAATCTGTTTTTGTTTATGAAATCTGATTTCATAATGTGTTTTTGACAACAATATGTATTCAAGAAAAGGGGAATTAAAACAAATACACATCTAAGCTAATAGACCTCTATAATTACCATGCTTACATAAATATATATTCAAATAGAATGTATATACACATAATTAGTTAATTATTTGTAGATAATGATAATATTAAAAGATTGTTTGTATAAGTAATATGGTGTGCTCCTCTTTAGACATTACTTTCCTTGCTTGTATAAGTAATATGACAGCAATCAAAAGTGCAATGGAGCAACCAACAAAGAATCCTAAAGATTGTTAAAGATTGTTGTATGCTTATAAAATCAATTCATAATGTGTTTTTGTTTATAAAAGATTGTTATATGTTTATGAGATCAAATTTTTTTTGTATGAGGAAATCACATTTATGTGTTTTTGTTTATAAAAGATTGTTTTATGTTGTTGAAAATATCATGAAATCACATTTTTGCTTGATTTATTTGTAAACATGTGTTATGTGGATGATTTATTTGTAAATGTGTGTTATGTGAATGATTTAGCTATTTTTTTTCTTTTTTAAAATAGACATGACGGATAAAAGAACTAGGGTTAGTTGGAAGTCGGAATTGGTGGACAAAACATTTTTGGAAGCGTGTATCCAAGAATTAACAAGTAATGGCCGGGAGGGTAGTGGCCTAAAGGCAAGCTCATGGGTTGTGGTCGCAGAGAAATTGAAAACAGATCATAATTTTGTTGTCGACAAAAAACAAATGAAAAACCGATACGACTATTTAAAAGCAAAGTATGCGGTATGGTTAAAACTTAAAAACAAAACCGGGAATATTTACAATCCCGTAACAAATTCTTTTAACATGACTAATGAAGAATGGGAAGTTGAAGCAAAGGTATATATATACATATTTTTTAAATTAGATTATTTTTTTTACTACTTTAACAATATTTATTAAATTTTCAAACAGCTGAAAAAGTATGTAGATAAGCTGAGAAATGCACCCCTCCCTTGCCCTAATCTTTGTACCCAACTATTTGATGGGGCGACCTCGACCGGTGTTCACAGTTGGGGGCCATCTTCGACACTACCTCATCCCAATGAAACCTTCAGTGCACATGATTTTGAGGATACAGAGATGGAAGAGCCAGCACCTCATCTAGATACCCCAAGCTCAACCGTACCTCAACCTACTAGTGAGGAATCATCTGGGCGGACAAAAAACAAAGGGGGCAAGCGAAATGGTCCTAAAGAAACCACACTTGATGATGAGTTGAAAGAAGTTGGAAAAGAAATTATCAAGGCTGCACAAGCATTCACGGAAGCAAATAATCTTGACAAGGAGATGGATGCTTGTATGGCAAGGTTGACAAGCTTGGAGTGGGGAGAATATGATCCGAAATACACCACTGCTCTTATGTTATTTGCTGAAAGTGCTGGCAATAGGAAAATTTGGTTGCGCCTTAACTTGTCAACTTGTGAGTCGTGGGTAACAAATGCGGGAAGAAAGTTTGGATTAGTTGGTTGACTTTAGTATGTTATGGTTTATTGTTTGACTTTAGTATGTTTTGGT